AGTGGGATGTAAAGCAGAGAGCGTTTTGTGCCTCAGTGCTGGAGCGACAGGCACTGAGTAAGCAGGGCCAGCGAGTCTCTGAATGTGCCTCCCCACTGAGTTCCTCTTGGGGGGGTGGAAATCTGCTGCTTCATGCAGGGAAAAGTTATGTAGACAAGCTGTGTTTTGGTGCCTGGTTTTGTGCAAAACATGGAAATCCTTTCCTGTCTGGTCTCTTTTCATTCTTTCTGCTGTCAGTCATTGCACATGTCATCAGTGTCTGTGTAAAAGACAGCACAGTCAGGGCATAAGCCTACTGCAGCCTCCAGTGTGTGAAAAGCAACATTAGCTTGAAGATTTTCACATGAGAACTGCTGGTGATTGATGGGACATACAGTGCAGTCATTAAAACCAGAAACATGTGTCTGCTGTGGAACCCCTTGCTGGTGTCCAGGATTAAAGAGACCATAACAAACTGCATTACTAGTGCAAATGTGAGAGAGCCTTGGGTTTGTGCTGGAAGTCTTGTTTCTGCAACACAATTCGCCTCACTCCAGCAGCCAGGAGAAGAGAATTTGGGCAACATGCTTCAGGCAGGTTCGTCCAGCCTGGTGCAGTACTCAGTGTGCTTTTATTTGCATCCCGCTGAGGTAGGATGCAGATGACAAGGTGCAGCCCAGCAGACTCCAAACAGCCAGGTGTAATGCAGGTTTTTCTGCTGGATTTAAGTCTGCTGCCGTCAGTGCTGCACTTGAAACAGCTGGCTTTGTTGCACTGCAAGCTGGTGTCATGTTAGCTAGTGTCAGATGCCAGCCATTTACAGTATGCACCATCACAGCATGACTTAAGTTGGCAACACAGAGTCAATCACATGCCAGCAGCCTACTGTAAGGGTGGGGGAGTGTGTGAGAAGAAAGGGGGAGAACATACTCTTATAAAATCTTTTAATGATTTATTTTTAATATCCATTTTTCTAGCCTTGGGAAGTGCAGTCCATATGCTTTTCCCTTCTGGCTGTATTTGGCAAAGAAGCTGATGAATATGGTCCTTCAGACTCCTTCCATTTTGCGAGGAGCCAGAAGATACAGCTATATTTAGCATGTTACTAAGGCCAGCAGCAGAGTCTGTTGCTGGGTGGTGATTCCCTGGCTACAGGCTCATGTGCCACCCGGGGCAGGGTGGGAACGCGCCTTCCCCGGAGTCAATGCTCGTGCTAAATTAACAGCAGTTACAACAGGATGGCTGTGCTGATCCCAGCAGGCTCAGCACACTGCTTGCTGACACAGGTCAGTCTGAGCTCCATGCCCCTTCCCGACACATGCAGCGACGCACTGGAGGTACTAGGATGGTGCTTTTTGGTGCATCGCTCAGCTTGGACAGTGTCTCAGCTGGTCTCTGTGAAGGGGACTGGCACTGTCCTGTGCCCTGTGCTGAGCTACAGCTAGTCACTGCAACAAAACTGCACCTTTTAGTATAAAGATGCTCATCTGAAACTTAGGGGCCTGACTTCTGTTGTCTTCTCTCATATTATATTCCTAGGCCACATAGGTATAAAATGGAGTTGTCCTTATTTGTCCCCAGCCCAGTATCCACACACCAGATTTGCTACCAGTTCCCTGTTGTTTTCCCTGCTGTGTTGCAGCTGGTACTGAGAAGTGAGTAATGGCAGTTCCTTTGTCCTTCTGGCAGCTTTCGTAGAGCGGAAATTAGTCTTGAAGAGTGTATGTTGCTGAGAAGTACTGAGAACTGTGGATGTTGTGATAGAAGTATAGAAGAAGGGATCATCCTTACCGGTGCTGGAGTTCAGAGGATGCTACAGGTGCCCATCACTTTAGAGCGAGACATCTTGAAGGTTGTTTCATAGCTGGATGTCTAAACCGGGAACATTTTGTGTCACTCTGTCACATCATCAGTTCCTAAAATTCATTGTCTGAGAGATGAAGAACCTACCGTGATGCTGGAGAGTGCAACCTGACTCAGCTGTGGCATCTAACAAGTCTTGGTGAAACGCAGTTGTTGGTGATGCTGAGGATCAAAAAGATGGCGAGGAGGAGCTAGACTGAAGGTGTGGTTTTGAATCTGAGTGCAGTGGCAATTAATTTAGTCTTCCTAGAGCTCTAGAAGGCCTGACAGCTGTGCCACACGTCACAGCCTTCACTCTGCAGCAGCATCAGCACAGCTCTCAGTTCCTTGCAAATACGCATCCTCATTGAAACCAGTAGCACTCTGTGTGGGCACTGGTTTCTGCTCACAGCTCTGTCTGCAGGATCAAGGCTTTATGCTGTATGGTGGGTTTTTTTGTTGGTAATAAAAACTTTTTGTTTGTAGAACCCCCTGTGGGAATTAAACAAACCCTGTTTTGAGAAAAAAAGTAGAACAAACAGCTTCACACCAAGCTGGGGTGACTGGTATCAATGACATGCAAAATTTCAGTTGGAATAGTGAAGTCTTTTTCAAGTTGAAGAAGGCCCTGTAAGTATTGTTTACAAAAAATAGTAGCTTTTTCATCATCTTTTTTCCTGCAGTGTAGAAACATCTACACAGATTTCTTCCAAATTTGGTAGAAATTAGTGTTTTTTCAGCCCAAACTGCTTGTACCAAGGAGGAATTTCTAAGGCAGATGTGTAAGCTCTTGGAGGCTGGAGCTTAGAATAGAGCAGCTGCCTGGCCATCAACAACCTGCTGCTCTGCGGGGTCTGCTCCTAGGCTGCAGCAACCTGAGCAGCCATGCAGAAGCTGTGGAGATAGGACATAGCAAATATGCTTTGAGCCTGAATTCTGGGCTGTTGTTTGATCCTAAGTGATGGAAAGTGGTGTGGAGGGACTGGTTCCATGCAGCTGGAAAGATGCCATGAGAAAGATGACCCAAACCTACCTAGTGCTGATGAGTGTCCTTCTCCTTCCAGATTAATGCAGGTATTTACCTTATAGTAGTGCTGGGTTGTCTGAGCACCAGCCGGCTGCATAGTGCCGTTTTACCTGCACTTTACACAGATAGAAGAAAGCGGTGATGAAGATTCATGTTCTTGGAGACCTTGAGCAATTAACTGGCTGCTGGGGATCTGGAATCGTTGGGTTGCTGAGAAGCCAAAACAATAGCATAAAAAAAGCCGCTTTCTTTTTGAGTTGGGTTGTTGGGAGCCACAGGGTTCTTCTAGGAGCAGGGCAGAGTGTTTCACTCAGCAAGAGCAGGATGCTGAAGTTTGGGAGTGTTTTTTCTTGTCCCATCAGGTTTAGCCCATCACTTCTTGCATTGAATTATTTGTCTCTAAGTAACAACAGGAAGCCAGGAGTTTCATTTAACTCTCTGATCTCTTTGGAGGAGATGAGGGAAGTCTATTTCTCTTGTCACTCCATCATCCAGCCCCTTTCACGCTGCAAATGGGCTCTGCAGCCCTTTCCCCAGTGAAGCTATTATCCCCACCAGGAAAGAGGGCTGAGGAGAGTGCACACAAAGCTTGCAGATCTTTGGCTGCTCTCCAGTGTCCTGCCCCTGTCTCAGCATGCCAAGGAGCCTGGCTGGGTGTTCAAAAGCTGACCCTGCAGTGGGTCACTGTGTTGACTTTGTGCAGTGGTACCCAGACTGTCGAGCAGTTCCACCCATACATTCGTGCAGGCAGAGACAGGTCTTAAAAATCCCCAGGGAAGCACCCTGGATGCAGGCTGGGGCCCATCTCAGGGGGTTTCCACCAGTCCCTGTGCCCTGGGTGCACTGGTGTGTAATGGGTGTACCCATGTGGACCTGGTTATGGGGTTATGGCTCTGCTGCCTGTGATCCTGCTGACAGGAGCAGGTTTGTGGAGTCACCTGATGTGCCCCTTTTTTGGAAACAAACTTATATTGATACTGAGAACTCGGTGTCCAGCCCTTGACGAGAGTGCCAGGGACAGGCTGGGTAATGGATGGTCCCACTCCTTTCCTGTCTGCAAGAACAATTATTAGTTATGTCATGCAGCAGCTCTGTGGTCCCCAGGCCTGGCCTTGTTTTATTAGGCTCTGAATAGCTACAGAAGAATTACTTCCTTGAAAAACCTCACCATGAGTTATTTCTAAAACTTATGCATAAAGTTGCATAAAATGTTTCTTGTATTCTGTATGCCTCTGTTTCTTGGTGAGGGAATACACAGAGAAAGGGGGGGGGGAACCCTATTTTTCAATAATTATTTTATCTTCATGACAAAATTTGTTACTGGTTTTCTGTGTTCAGTTGACTACTGGTATGTATCTTCCTATATGTATGTGCAAACACTACTGAAGCAAGGCACAATTTAGAGATTTTTTTAAAAAAAAAATTATGATCTTTGTTGATCTCAGGTGATCTGTAACTTTAGTAATCCTTTGCTTTTTAGGAGCCACTGGCTTCCCTCGTGCTTATGTTTAATTGAGGGGGGGGAGTAGTGATGCAACATACTGTGGATTTTAACTGAGGAAAGCACGAAGAGGAGATTGTTTCAATTCTTCCTCCTGTGACTACCAGTTCTCAGCATCTCAGTACATGCATGTTGAAGATCAGGGGTGTTGCTTTACAGAGCTGTCACCTTAATGTTTTACCCAGCACAGTTGGGGAAGTGGTGGAGATGATTTTGTTTCTCACTGTCTGGTTGTCAGGGCCAGTTGAGTGGACTGGTGTTGGGAGGGAGGGGAAAAACAACCCACACAAGTGGGGAATTTTTGTTGTTGTTTCTGGAGCTGTTGCCACTAACTTCTGAAAATACTTTGTGTTAGTGTGGTTGGTTTGTTTTGGTTTTTTACAGCAATCATTTTAACATCAGGAAGCCTAACTTTTGGGTTTAGCTTGATAGTATTCAGTTAGGGTTTACAGCAGGAGAAGTCATGTTGCTCTTCTCTTCACCTTAGTATTGCACTTCTATAGAAAAATCACAAAAGAAGCACAGCAGCTACCAAACTGCCTCTGCCTAGGTGATTGTGGTGTTACAGTAACCCAAACAAGCCTTAATTAAATTTTTCTGACTGCCCTGAGTGTTACATTCACTGAAATGCTGTTTCATTGTGGTTTTTAGGGCCGGTGTACCCGAGAGAACTGCAAATATCTCCACCCTCCCCCGCACTTAAAAACACAACTTGAAATAAATGGACGCAACAACCTGATCCAGCAGAAGACAGCCGCAGCCATGTTTGCTCAGCAAATGCAGTTCATGCTACCAGGCGCGCAGCTACAGCCAATTGTAAGTTACAGCATTGAATCGTGTTCACGCTGCTCTGTGTTTCTTTCCTGTTTGCTCACGGAGACCCTAGCCCTGTGCTTTTGCTCAGGTGGTTGTTCATGCTGCGCGGAGTTGGGCAGCATCTTCCAGAGGGATGTCTGATGTTACGTCTGCATCCTCTTGCAAGCTGTGGCTCCCCTTTCCTCTGATCATTGAGGAGCGAGCTGTGAGATTGAGGCATCAAGTGGAAGGGTCTTACCACCAGGTGGATATTTGACCAGATAATTCATGTACATCCCAAAAGTCCTCAATTCCAGTGGATCTTATTTTGGATAGCTGTTTTACACTGGGGTGAGGATGCTGGAGTTCTTCCATGTTGTGGCAAGAGGCTAATTGGCTCCCTTGGACTCGATGCATTTTACTGATGGGCTAAAATTGGGGAAGATGAATCCTATCCAGACTTTAATACATTTTTGTCTTGTCTGGGAGTGACCCATTTTGCTGCAGTTGTCCCAGCAGAGAGTTGAGCTGATGTCACAGTTCTGTCACTTGTTTTTCACAGTAATGCTGTTTTGTACTAACAGCAGGAAAGTTTTGCTTCTCTTCAGGTAGGGAAGGAAGCCTGTGGGAGATGGGTGTTTGCAGAGCATGTAGTTCAGAGAAGCCTTCACTGCCTGTCCCTGCTGTAGCCTATCAGTTAAAACAGGTTTTCAGGCTGGAGAACCCTGTTATGCCAGGAAGAGGATGGCTTGTGTCTGCTGGCTGGTGTATCTGGGATGGGGTGATATTTGTCAGCTGAGTTTGAGTCTGTCGCTATGTATATTTTAAGAAACGTCAGGGTCTCGAAGCAACTCTTTGGTGCTGACATAAATAAGCTGCACATTTTTAACCGAGCGCCTAATTAAGAATTCTCCATTTAAAGTCAGGGCTGAATGTCTTTCCTGGGGTGATGTGCACTTGATGTGCAGTTGTTGGGTGAGGTTCCCTGTGTTGTGCCACACAGAAGGTCTGGCTGGATCCCTAGAACAGACTCTTCCAGCCTGAAGATGTGCAAGTCTGTGAAAAAACCTGCATTTGGCCTCTTGCTGTCCCACCTACAGTGCCTGGCTTCTCTGCCCAAATGAGGCTTCAGACTCAGCAGCTGTCACCCCAGCTTTGACAAGCTGGAGTGTCTCTGGTTTATCCTCACAAGAGACTGGTGGAGGTTTCTTCCTTGCTGGAGGTTTCTTCCTTGCTGGATGCTGCTGTGCTGCTTGGTGCAAGAGCTTGCAATGATTCTGTGTTTTGGGAGGGAAAGCTGGCCAGTGTCCCTCCATGATGGTGCTCTGCCACCCTGCTGAGACATTTCCTCAGTCTGGTGTGTTCCTCCTGTCTTGTGAAGGCTCTTCTATGTGCACCCTCACTCTGGTCATCCTGCATGTGTGTTAGCAGTTTTATCTTCACCCTGCCGTGTAAGCTAGGGAAGTGCTGTTTATTCTTCTTGTCTCAAAGGTGGAGAAGTGAGGCAGAAGAGAAAATGGGCCACAGGATTCTTTAGTTGCTCTGCACCTTAAACTCTAATCTGCTGTGATCTTTGCACCTCTTTTTGTGGAATTCACTTTTCTCGAAAGTACATGAGCATGAGAAGGAAATCCTGAATTCCCACAAAATGGTAGCACTGATTTCCTAGCCCTGTACCAAAAGCATACTTTTCCTGTTTGGGGTTTTCCTCTGTGGGGAATTCACAGTGGACGCTCTTTGGCTGGCTATTCAAAACATCTTTGGGATTTCCTCTTTGGAAAGTTCCCATCTTCCCATTTTGCAGTCTTGCAGGTCTAGATCACTCCTCCTGCAATTCCAGTCCTGCCTTTTAAATTGCCTCTGAGACTAAATCTGATGGTTTGTCTTATTAGTGCTTTCATTTCAGGGGTAACCTTATCTGATGAGAAAGGTCCCTGGTTTCTAAAGTGTGCCATGAGAGAGACATGGGCAAAGAAGAAAAATAAAAAACTTGTCTGCAATGACTGCTCCCTTCCTGCTTTCCCACACTTTTCTCAGAGTAAACGAGCTCTTGGTCTAATTCCTGCTGCCCGACTTGCTCCACACCAATTTCAGGACAAACAAGAGATTGCTCTTTCACCTGCCTTTGATTTCCTGAAGATGCTGCCAGTGGAAGTAGGCTTTGAGAATTTTTTTTTCTCTCTCAATGAGAAGGGTGGGGCCGCCTCCTGGCTACACATGAAGTTCTTCAAAGCAGAAAGTATTATATCAGATGCAGCAGCAGAACAAATCCCATGTGATCAGAAAGCTGATCAACGGGATGCCTGCTTAATTGGGATGCTTGCCAGAGACGAGATTTGGAACAGCGTGCTTAATAGCTCCAAACAATAGCTGAATGCTTAGACATTTTAAAGTGCATTTTCACCAGAAAAAAAAAAAAAAAAAAAAAAAAAAAAAAAAAGTCCAGCGCTTGACACAGCAGCTTTTCACCATGCTTCCAGAAATGGCATTGAATCTATCTAAACATTCACCACCAGATCTTCTTGCACCACCACTGACATCCAGCAAGAGTTAATCTTCTCGTTGAACCAAGAGCCAGGACCCTGATGATGGCTGTTTAATTAAGGTGCTGCTTGGAGAAGAACCATGTCCCAGGTGGGCTGCCTGCTGCACGCTGCTCACAGAAGGCCTACTAGGTGTGAATTAATGGTTGCTAGTGTGAGCTTATTTTTCTGATGTCTCTGGTTGATCTCTGATGTTGCTGCTAACCGTTTGTGCAAAGCTGAGAATCACGTGAATGTTTGGTGCCCATGATGCAGTTTTAAACAGACTGCTTTGTACAGCACTTTCAAACTAGTCAGGCAAGGACATGGAGCAGACTATTTGCTCAGCATGGTGTATTTGTCTGGGAGAGACCTTGGAGAGACCATGTAGGTGCCAAGTAGGAAGACTTTATTAAAGTTTTGACTTAAAAGTCCAGATTCACCTTGACTACTGGCTTTGGTTGAGCTGTGCTGGAAGCTCTCTGGGCTGGTTTTGTGCCTCTCTGTTGGATGGTGTAAAAGCCAGGTTGAAGGTGGATAGAACTGGGCTCTGGCATCAATACGGAAAGTCATTTTAGTCAAAGCTGTGTCTGGTTTCTCAGATACAGTCACTTTGAGCCATGTGTGTGCCAAAGAAAGACCACCCAAAAAGTGCTGCACCCTGGGCTTGATCCCCACCCTTTTCATTCAGCTTTGTGTCTTTGCAGCAGTGTGAAACAGGCTTTTGGAGCTGGCCACGGGGGTGCTTCAGCACGAGCTCCAAATTGATGTGGTGGAGTAGGGCAGTGGCTTGCATGGGGCTGCCCTGTTAGCTGTGTCTGTTTGGCAGTTGGATAGAGCACAGCAGTGTTGACACACCTGCCTACACTGCTGCCCTGCAGCTGCCTCTGCTGCTGCCCTGGGAAGTTATTTCCCCTCTCTGAGCTTTCTTTGTTTTCAAGCTCTTCATCTTTTCTTCCTGTCAAGGTCTTTGTAGCCAGGACTATCTTGACAGCTCTGAGTCACCCATGACCCTGAAGACAACCCAAACTTTAACCCAGCCCTGCGTTCCCTCCTGGGGCAGTGGGACCCTGCTGCCACCCCTTGGTGCTGATGGAGAAGTTAAAGCATAGGGTGAGCAACTTGCTTGGCCAGTGATGCTTGGAACAAGTGCTGGAGCAGATTTCAACAGGTGTCTTAGGCATGCATTTGTGCCATGCAGAAAAAACCTGATCTTTATCACAGCCTCTAGTCAAAGGCACCCTAGGAATGAATAAACACACGTACCCTGGCCCACCCAGGAGCTGATGTCTGCCAAGAGACAGTGCTATGGGGTGTTAACACCTGACCTTTACACTACAGCAGCCCACAAATGAGACATCCTTGAGCTGGGAGCGTGCCTTTGTGGTCTGATGGGGGAAACAAGCATCTGTGGTGGTAGGTAGCTGGATGCTTTGGCCAGTTGGATTCGCTCCAGCATGCTCAACCATCATGTTGGAGGGATGATTTTTACAGCCAGCCCCATGCAATTGCACTGGAGGGGAACACAGGTTTTTGCTTTTTCCAAACAGCATCAATTATGTTTTCGGTATAAGGGTCTTGAGCCTTGTCAGTACACGATCTTTATCTTCTATGTTTCTGTCACCATACTAATAAAAGCTGCCTGTTTTTTGTGTGCCTTCCATGTGTAGCTGCTTAGCAATGACCTATCTCCCCTCCTTCAGCCGATCAACACCTCTGTATTTATACTGGGTCTCTCATTTTCAGGCTTTCCCTTTTTAGGGTCTGAGGTAACTCAGAATCAACACTTCCCAGCTGAGACAGCGCTTGTGTTCGACAAAACACCAGCCGCTCCTCTGCCTTCCTCTTCACACCCACTCTGTGTTTCTTCTCTAGCTTTAGCACAATTTCTGCTAGGCAAATTGAATGCAACTTCTACTTCGTTAACAAAATCAGCTGTTCCAGGTTCTGTCACCACTGGTGGTGACAAGTGCCCCTCCCTCGGATGGTCCCTTCTCTCTGCTCACACTTCAACCCAGCAGTTCCCATGCTCGGGGTCTGTGAGAGGCTCAGAGCTGTTGAAGTCCTTGGCAGCTTTCCCCCTGAGATGTGTTCTCACAACAGCCATTTCAGCTGCCTTTTTTTTTTTATTCTTACAAGCATTTTAATACTCAGTAAACCAGTCTTGTGAGCTGCTACCAGTCCGAACCCTTTTGCTGTTTCACTGTAGCCTGTTTCCCTCTGCTCAGGAGTTACTTGGTAGTGTCTGCATATGCTATGGTTAATAAAAGTTACTTTGCAGGGAAACCTGCCCCTGTATTTCCTGAATTTGCAAGAGTTCTAAGGGGGACAGCAGGGGTAAGTGGTGATACCTTCAATCCCTTTGTTTTGCCCTGGAACACACCAGCAGCTAAATTGAGACTTTTATTTTTTTTCAGTGTACAGTCATAATATTGATCTGTCGGGTCTCCTGGCTGGGTGCAATCACAAGAGGTGGATGGAAGGCATGTTGAGGAGAGCAGTGCTGTTTGGAGTAAAAATTACAGTTGGGTTCTGGCTGCAAGGAAGAAACTCACTTGAATTCCCTCAGGACAGGCCTGGCACGGGGGACCTGCACAGACGTAAAAGGAGGAGTGATTTGGCTGGCAGCATCTTTATTACTGGTGCTGATGCATGAGCCAGTCTGGATTTCCCAATCCAAGACAGGCAGTCAGGGCTGGCAATGAGCACAGCCCATCTTTTCCCCTCATCAGCCACAATAAATACAGAGCTCCCTGATGCCAGCTTACAAAGGAGCAGTTTTCAGTGCGCTTAGCGCACTTCAGACTTAAAACCCCAGCTCTTCTAGATCTAATGTGTTGAGTGAGGTCTGCTCATTCTCTGGCTGTGCATCCGCCGAAAACGCCTGCACGGCTGCCGAGTGTCAGTCCCCTGCCCGTGGGCAGGGTGTGGAGCAGAGCTGTCGCTTTCCATCAGCGGCACCAGGTGCACGGTTCAGGCGGGCAGAAGAAGCGGTTGTGAAACCTTGGGAACGCAGCAACAGATGTCAGGGCATAGAAATGGGTGAACAACCAGCGACAGTGATAAAAACCCATCCTGCTCCTTCATGTACCCCTCTGCTGGTCTCCAGGATCGTGAGTAGATTGTACTCACCAGTTGTTCCTCATGGACCTCTTTCCTCCACTTGCTTCAGATTGAGTTTGGATCCATTAGTCCTTGCCAGTTGGTCCCAGTGAGGAGAGGGGCTGCTTTTGAGGAATGGTCTTGGAGATGGGGACTGTGTTTCAGGGAGCAGGACCTGCCTCCCAGTTCATAGTGGTTTTGATGGAGAGGCTGGTATATCATCTCTTAGCGAACGTTTCACATCCATTTCCACCGGTTTCTGTTGAATTCACTCAGTGTGAGGCATTGCAAGTCCTCAGCCTTCCTCCCTGTCTGCACAAATGCCATGACGTCCTCTGCATGAGCATTGAGGGGAGGAACATTTCCCCTCCATCTCAGAAACCAGCTAGGTCCTTGGGCTGGCTCCTTGTGTGTTTGAGGCCAGGCAGGGAAAGCCTGCCTTAAAGGATCTTCTGAAATTTTGGAGCAATGTCTGTGCCACACCTGTGCTGTCAGGATACCCAGGACTCTTGCTGTATTAGGTGCTGGAAAAACATGGGGTAGATTTGTGCAAGGTGTGCTGCAAGGTTTGGGCTACTATGGGTACATAAAACAAGTGCTGACAACATGTCAGACCCCAGCATAATGCTGTTCAGGCTGGTCAGGCTGGAGAAGTTCCTTGAAATAGCATTTACAGTGCGAATGGTGACAGAAGTTCAGCAGATGCCACTGTAATTACTGGTGCTGGCACAAAAGAAAACAATCTAATGGATGCTGCCTTCTTACTAAAGTGTTCAGGGAGTGACAGCATTTGAAGATCCTCAAAGAGCTTTTCTAGCAGCAAAAGGTGTAAAATGTCTGGGAGACACAGAGAACTGAACAAGAGAAGAAAATTATTTACTAAAGGGCCGTGGACTGGAGAATCTCTGGGTTTAATGATTAAGGTTTCCCATCAGCTGAAGCGGGGCTTGACTCAGGCTCAAAAGAAGGAAAATCGGAAGTCCCTCCCAGAGAGAAGGCTGTTTGGTTCTGCTACACTTCAAGCACCCAGAGCTGCTGATTCAGAAAGCTGTGTCTCCTCATTGAGGAGGAGAAAGCAGGACGTATGCTGGCTGTGACCTCCCTTTCCTGTCAGTTCAGGAGCTGCTTGCTGTCACTCTGACCTTAGGAAGGAGGCATCATTAAGCTAAAGATAAGTTAGGACAGCTTGGCTGGTGTTATTCTGGGCTAGCTTCTTCCAGACTGCAACAAGCAAAGTGTTTCTGAGTGTATGAAAGTACTGGGATGAAGATGCTATTGAGAAACACTGTCCACATGTGGTTTCTTTTAGAAGCCCACAGGACTTGATGTACCAAAATAAAAGCAAGGAGGGAATGATGTGCCTGGCCAGAAAAATGCCCCAGGCCATTTGGTAAGCACACATATGTTTATTGCCAGGTATTGGTTTTAGCTACTGAGGACGGCATCACATACACCTGTGAGTTCACAGTGAAGCAGGTGACAGAAGGGAGGTTGCAAGTCTCAGGCTGCTTACCATGGGGGCTGCACAAGCCTCTGCTAGCAGAGCAGGAGTGCTGTCTTGCAGGCTCTGGTCTTTGGGGTGGGCAGGGGGGATTTTTCATCAACTGGAATTGGTTGCATTTGCAAACACACCTTGGATCTGGTGCTTTAAAAATCTCACAAACTCCCTGGCTATAGGGACTATTCACAGACTTTCAACTGAGCACCTGCTTATGAGCTTTGTGTGATCTCACCTGCCTGGCAGAACAGCTGCTTCTTTCCCAGACCATTGCTGCTGAAGCAGTTCAGGCTGGACAAGTGGCCCTGGCCACCGGTGCTGAAGCTCAGCTGCACCTGGAGGGCCTGCCTAACACAGATTAGGGATCTGAAGCAGTCAAGATCTTTATGGCCCATTGTTCTGTCTCCTCATGGGACCATTGCTCCTTGCAGCCCAGGTGGGGTCCTGGACCTTGTACTGGTCCACCTGAGCCATCTCATCTGGTGCATTCTGTCCATGGCTCTTCCAAGCCTGTGACCCACCTGCTCTTGCCAAAGCCATGAGGTCTGGCATGTTGTGACACAAGTGAGTTTGGTGTCCTCTTGCTGCCATTCACGTGGAGTGTAGGCCTGGGATACTCCTGCAAAATTGCTTTTGCTCAGAGGCTATAGACAGTCTCAAACAAACCCCAGATATGCAGAATGCTAGACTTCCAAGCATACTGTAGAACAGATGCCTCGCCTGACTCTTAAGTGATCCCTTTTGTCTACCTGAGCCACGCTAGCCATGATAACATGGAGCTCAGCACAGGCTGATAGTGAATTCAACCATGTGGCTAATGGGGTTACCTGCTTCTGGGTCCTGAAGCGGCCATTTACCTTGGGGTCTCTGTACAGCATTGCAGTGTAGACATTTAGAAACCGAGACGTTTATTTGGGAATGAGAAGTCTGTTTAATTTGGGCCTGCCCTAATTGCTGGCATGAAATCCTTAATTGTGTCATTAAACTATAAAGATCATCAATATGCTTTGATCTGACAAATAAAGATGTCTTGTGTTCAGGATGAGTCACAAATCTGTGAGTCAGGAGAAGCGAATAGATCGCAAGTAAATGACGATAAATGAATAGATTGGAGAGCACAGCATTTTGATGTTGCTAATCAAATTGTCTAAAAGGATTGAAATGATGCAGGGCTTTGATGGGTAATCCAAGACAGAGCTTTTTAACTAATATTTTGGTTTTCCTTTTTCTATACACAGACAACGTTTCCTGTGACTCCATCACTTGCAACAAGCCCCACGATGGCTTTTAGTCCCTACCTGAGTCATGTTTCTCCTGGGATGGGCTTGGTTCCTGCAGAGCTTTTACCAAATACTCCTGTCCTGGTTTCCGGAAATCCTACTGTTACAGTACCAGGAGGCTCTGCTGGGCAGAAACTGATGCGTACGGATAAACTGGAGGTATTTGGACGTCTGATATGATACTGCTGATGGGAATGAACAGAATGAACAGCTGTTGCTCTCTGCTAGAATGACCTGGTGCAACAAAGTGCAGAGTTTAACTTGCAGCTTACCTATCACAGGGCTGCTGCTCTCTGCTTGAGCAGACTCTCATGTGGGGCCTGATCCTAAATTCTTGGAAGTCACTGGAAATTTGGGAGCATTTTTCTGTTTTCAGTGGGTGTTAGAGCAGGGCTGAGGTGGTTGTTTTCCGTGTGTGATCTGCCACACTTAAAAAAATGCAAGCCAGATGGTCTGCCCTTTCACTAGTTGAGTCGGAGACGTTTTGGAAGTAACAGACACACTTTCCTTGTCTAGAGATGGGCTTATTGAGCTTTTACAGAAAGCTTTATGCATTACTCTGTTGGGAGTGGTGAGTATGGGGCATTGGAAAGACATCTCCTCCCCCCCAGTTGGCTGGGCATTCTGGGACTTAGTATTGGAGGAGCTGTAAATGTCTTTCAAACCCTAAGCAGAGGCTCTGCAGGAGATAAGGGCTGAGGATCTGAATTCAAAGGCTCCTGCAGGTGTAAATTATAACACAGGAAGGTGGTAGAGAAGGGTGTAATTTCAAAACACATTGTTTTGTGTTATGTACTTTATATTGCCTTGCTGACGTCTCACCTTTCCCCACGCTCAGTCTGATAGTGCACTGGTTCATGATCTACGCCACCAGCTATAGTCCTCAACAATCTCTCTCAGTTTCTCAGACAAGGAAACCTTGCAGATGCATTTCATGAAACCTTTTTCTCTGCCTTTGATGCTTCAATGATCATAACTTATGAGGATCTGGAAGATCTTCGTAAAGCTAGCAATTTCGGCAACGCCTTACAAACGCGTTGCAGTGTAATGTAATGTGCTGTCTTGTAACACCAGGGTGAGGCTATTTATGTGAAAGCAGCTCTTCATATTTAAGAAAAGGTACTTATTGCAAATAACAGCAGCATGCAACATTTTGAATTAAATGTCCTACTCAAGAGTGTGCTCTGTGACAAATATATAATCCAGGTGAGACACAAATGGCAAGAGTTAGTAACATCTCAGCTTTAGAGGCAGGGGAGGAATTCTGAGCTCCAAAAGTTTTGGTGAAACGACTGACTTGCTGTGGTCACTTTGCATTCTGAACAAATTCTGTACTTCACTTGCATTTGGTAATTAGCCTTGGTAACATTGTGGTTTTTTTCATACACTGAACCAGTTTCGAGTAGCACCACTTGCCCCTGCGACTGTTGGTATATGTGATACCCAAGAGGAGCATGGATTTAGAATACACGTATGGTTTAATGTGGTCAGCTGAACTGATAACTGTGTTGAAAATACTGAGTAACTTTATGTTCTGCTCAACAATGTGACTTTCTTTTAAGGTTTGTCGAGAGTTTCAGCGTGGAAATTGCACACGTGGTGAGAATGATTGCCGCTATGCTCACCCTATAGATATTGCAATGATAGACACAAATGAAAATACTGTTACAGTTTGCATGGATTACATCAAAGGTCGATGCTCTAGGGAGAAATGCAAGTACTTTCATCCCCCTGCACACCTGCAAGCCAAAATCAAGGCAGCTCAACACCAGGTGAACCAGACAGCTGCAGCTGCAATGGTAAGTAGAGCTCTTCTCAGGCTGTATTTCCATTGCTAAGAGATTTCATTTGTGTCATATGTTTCTTTTGTGGAAAAGTAGAGTGCTTTGTAAATGGCTGACTAGAGAGCTGAGAGCATGTGCGATAAGAATCCCATCTCTTCATCCTTTCTGTGTGCTCACATAGCATGAAGCCCTGAGTGGCACAGTGCATCTCACCAGTTAGGGATGTGGTGACAAACCCCATGATTTTCTGCTGTGACATCATGATGTGATATGAGCAAGTGACATGAGCAAGTACAGCAGCACTTGGAACCAACACCTTCCGTGGCTATGTCATAGGTGTCAGTTTAGCTTCCTCAGTACACAATGACAGCAAAGACTGCCCATCCCATAATACATCCTTTGTAGGGAGATCCTGGCCTGTTGAAGTCAGTAGCAAAATATCCACTGACTTAAAAGCAGACAAGGTAGCACTTGTTTGAGCTTAGCAAACTAGTGCCTGATACCTTTGCCAAGGCTTAGTGAAATGACAGGACTCAAAGTAAGGGTGACTTCCAGACATCTGATACTTCGGACTTGGTAGAGATGGTTCCCACCTGCATTTTAATTTGATTTGTGACTTATAATACCTACAGTTCTAAAAACAAGTCAAGGAAGACTTTCTGCATGAAATTCCTAGCTGGAGTAAATGTTTGCCATTCTGTTGAATTCCATTTAATGGCATCTATTTACTCCAGGGATGAGAGAGCTGGGATGTTCATCTTGGGAGGGCAGAAGAGGCCCAGAGGGATCTTACCTGTGTGTATAAATTCCTGATGGGGGAAGTAAAGAAGGTGGAGGCAGACTCTTTCCTGGGGTGCCCAGTGAAAGGACAAGAGACAATGGGTACAAATTTAGGAAATTCCATTTAAACGTAAGAAGAAACATCTTTATAGTGAAGGTGATCAAGCACTGCAACAGGTTGCTCTATCCTTGGAGATACTCAGAACCTGCCTGGACACAGTCCTGACCAAGCTGCTCTAGTTGACACAGCTTTGAGCAGGATGTTGGTCTCGATGATCTCCAGAGGTCCCTTCCAACCTCATCTCTTCTGTGATTTTATATTTTAAAAAAATAATAATAAAAAGGTTCTTGCCTCCTTCTTTATTTAGAAGTAAGACTACTAAAATTTTTCTAAATATCTTCTTTTTTAAAGACAGTAGAAGAGGTTGCTTTTTATTCATGGTGAATCATAAGGCAAAACCAGGACAATTCTAGAAATTAAACAGCTGCCCTCCTTGTAGCATCAATATTACCCCGAATGTAATTTGAAGAACAAATATATACTGCAGTATTTATTTCTCCTGCAGAATTGACTACATTTCTTACTCTTTTTATTATTGTTGAAACAACAGCACAGGTCTGTTGAAAAACAATCTTCTGAAATGAAACTCGTGTTTTTTACAATTGGATCTTTACTTTTTCACTAATTATCTAGGACACTGCTACTTAACCAAAGCCAATGCATGTTTTATTCATGCTGCTAGCTTCTCTTAAAAATGTAATTAACCTTATTTGTATGCTGTTAACTAGAACCTTTAAAATATTTATTGATTGCTTGTTGCATCACCCCAGCTACCAAAACAGCTTACATTATTCATTGACTTTTCAAGGTTTGATGCATTTACTGTACCTATTGAAGAATAAGACCTTAATAAAGGGAAGAATGGTGCCCAGTTTTCTTGGATCAAAAAACATATGCCAGACAAATGGGTGTACTTTCTAGAATAGATTTGGAATGACTGCAAAACTAAATTCAGAAGATATTTCTGAGGGACCCGATCCTGCAGTTACTTGACATGCACAAGTAGTAGCTAACTTGCTCCTGCTTGGCTGAAGTCAGTGCAGCACAGTCAGATGAACTGGGTCAGGCTCAGTCCCCAGTTGAGGATGGCACTTGAGCATGCGCTTGAACCTCCCTTCTTTGCCAGTGGTCCTTCCCTTGCCACGAGCGCTCCTGCTGACCCTGCATGGCCTGTAGCTGCAGAATTAGGGCTGAAGCCCAGTGGAAGTCCCCTTGCAGGTGCTAATCCCTGAGTGCTCCTGACCCGCTGTGCCGCCCGCAGTGAAGATGCTCTAAAGCACATGTTCGCGTCTTGACGTTTCTTTACTTTTAAAACTTACCGAGGCAAAATAGCTGACTAGCCGCTAGGCCAGGTAATTACTCAGCCACCCCACATTGTGCATGCCTCGTCTCTTTAATATATTGTATAATGCATTCACTTTTTTATTTTTATTTTTTCTCTTCGCCTCTCCAAAATGTTGCTCTCTCTTGACACACCTCTGCTTGCTGGTTTTGTTACTGTGCTTGACCCCCCCTCCCTGGCCCATTGCCATCATGTGCTCGCTGCCTGCTAATTAAGACTCAGCCAGCTGTCAGATCACTGAAGCGACCGCTCGAGGCAACCTTTGACCTGGTACTTGGACCTTTCACCTTCTCGCTTTGCACGTAACCATCTTAGTCTGCATGAAAGCCTTCTGCGCTTGGTCTGTTGTGTTAGTTTAGTGCCTGGGGAGACTGCCCATCCTGGCCAGAAATGTTGCAGTGTGCGTTCAGACATGCCAATCCTGTGCCCCACACACCATCCATTAACCATCAGAGCTTTGCCTCCGGAAGCCTGGATGTGTTTTGGAGGCAGTGAATAATCTTTGAGGGAGCCAGCTCTGGGTTTTGAAGTGTTTTTCCAAACAGCAGCAGCTTTGGATTCATGAAACGTAACATTTCGGTGAGAATTTAACTCGTTATGTCTGCAGTGTGCTGAGTATGCCAGAGGACTGGGTGGTGCAGGACAGATCCAGCAACTTTTCATGGTACACCCAACAGCGCAGCCTTGCCTGACACTATTATGCTGGTACTGCCCTGCAGAGGGGTGTTCTGTGCAATAGTCACAACTCAAATTTAGGAGAGTGAAATCTAAGCAGCACCCTGGGAGATCTGTGCTGGGAACTGAAGCAGGTGCAGTGCAGGACTTGGGTCGTGTGTTCAGTAAGCTGGGGAGGTGGCTGCTGATGCAGCTGGCTCTGCCTCTGATTCCTTCCTGATACCCCAGTGGGACAGTGTCAGCAAAGGGACCTCGCTCTGGGTGTGTTTTCCTTCAGTCTCAGGCACAGGATCTTCTCACCAGGCTTCTGTCTTCAAGCTGGCTTCATATAAGCTACTTTAGATAAATTTTCTGAGTCTCAGATATGTTTTACCTGTTTTCATGATACTCATAGTGAGCCAAAAGCCATCTTCCCAGTCTGCTGTCAGTCCTGGCTCTGCAGAAGACAGATGTCTTCTTCCCATTCACCCCAAATAATAAGGGATACAATATGTGCTAAAAAAAACCAACTCCTGTCACCCAGCTATAGGGGGGAAAAGGAAAAATGGACTCGGAGCCCTGAAACCTTCAAGCTGGTGTTGTTCCTCATTCCCAGAGCTAAGAAGCAGAGGCTGATCCAATTCTCTTCCCCTCTGAAGACTTGTTTTGGTTTTTTTTTAAGTAGTCAAAAGGCTTGTTTTAAGCAGCAGCAGTAGGAAGCCTTGCTAGGGACTAGCTTCCACCAGCAGTCGTGGAATTATGCTGTAAATGGCGTAACAGCCCCTCACTCGCCACTGCTCACGGCTGGCACAGGTGCAGCCCCCGAGCCAGCGCAGGCAGTGATCTGCATGGTGCCTCGCTGCCCTCTCCAAGAGCCACCTCTCCAAGGAGATGCTGTTGGGCAGAGAATGGCAAAGCCCTTTAACTCCCCTACCCTCCTAACCTCCTCCACTGAACAAAACCCCATCAGATAAGTTACTTTTAGTAGTCTTCCTGATCTGAAACATATGAAGGTTTGCAACTGTGTTGTTGGAATATGTCACCTCCTGTGAACCCTTTGGGAAGGCTGCACCAGAGAAGGATTCACAGTGGTGATAAGAGCATGTATAATCTTCAGAGGAAACTACTCAGATTGCTCTGCTGCCTGCCAGGGAATGGGCGCTGCCTCTGCCCTCTCTCAGATCATTTTGTATTTGTCATGCCTTGGACTGAAGCAGCAAGCCAGACGCAGACCCAGCCCCTCTTTGCTAAGTGCAAAGTGGTGAAAGTGCGATCTGCTCCCAGGAGATCTGATGGGAACTTTGAGGTGCAATTAAATAGCTTGTTGCAAAGATTTAATCCAGTTCTTGTCTTGCAAAAAATAACAAGAGAGGGTTGTTAACCAGCACGTGGGAAATTTTGACTTTGGCACACAGTGCTTCTTTATCTGTCAGTCATGCTGAAAGATTGCTCTCCACGCCATGCAGAGAAGTGGCACAAACCTCTTTGTTCAGATGCTTATGTTCCGGCAGGAATGTAGCTTTCCTAGCCCAAAAATGGGAGGCTGCCTGGCATTTTTGTAGTCGGAATTGTTCATTGGAATCAGTGTGAGCTATCACATGGATACTGACCTGAATTAACCCTTTCACCTGTCGAGATGGTCTGATCATGTTGCATACCCGTGTGTGCACACAGACAAAAAAGAAAGTTGGAAAAAGTTACTGTTAAAGGCTACTGCTACATCTGTGATGGTCGGAACTTGTCCAGAGAGAATTGCAGGCAGCCGGATGAGGAAAACTTGCCAAGTAAGTTCTTTGCTACAAGGGTTTAGTCTAGCTCCTGTCCTGCAGTGTGAAGGCACTTTCTACAGAATTTGGTATGGTCAAAACATGGTGAGGAGTCTCCTGTTGCATTTTATAGGTGCTGTAGGAACACTGGGGAATTCCTTCAGAACCAGGACAGGGTGCAAGACAGAAATGTTGTATCCCCACGAGTTACTGTAATTCCTGCAGGTCCTGAGACAAAAATCTGGCCGGTTTCAAATGAGACACAGTTGTTTGCTCTTGTATCCCTGCCAGATCCCTGTGCAGGAGCTGTATTGGCCCAACTTCATTATGTGCAGTTTTAGACATCTCTCCCAGGTATTTGTAGATAGACCTTTCAGTGAGTGTAGTCCTGGCTTGGGGCTCTTACCTCAAGACAAGGACTGAAGAAGTGGTGAAGCCAGATCCTTCTGTTCCCCTGGGCCCTCCTGCGCCTTAATATCTAAAATAATACTGGCTGGCAACAGGAGGAGCACATCTTCAGGGCATGCTCCTGTACAAATGCTCCCCCAGCTGCTGGGATGGGAGACGTGACCCAGAAGGCTGTGTCAAACCAGAAGCAGACCAAGAAGGGCTCCTGGCTCCTGTGCCCACGTAGCCCACATGGCAGAGCCAGCCTTCAGGCTGCACAGCAGATGCTGCAGTCTGCTTGTTTCTTTAGAAGGCTGTGGGGCTTCTCCACTCACGTGCTGTTCAGGCATTTCCCAGAGGGTGCTGTTCAAGGAGCAGTAGTGGGACTGCCATAGCTCCTTTCTCTTCTTTGCTCCCAAGGGGCTGTAACAGGGTAGGAGGAGTGGATGTTAAAGAGACAGTTGGGTAGTCCATTGTGCATTGACATCCCTGTGCCTGTGGGTGTTTGTATGCTCCCTGTGACTGCAATGCTGGGCTCAGGAATTGTCCTGTAGAGAGCCAGAACATCATGGTGAGGTCTCAAAGCCTTCAGCTGTTCTGCTTTTGGCACTGCTATTATGGGATAATGAGGGGTTTGGGGTCGTGGCAGTCTTTGGCCAAGAAGCAAGGAGTCAGAAGTCCCTTATGTGCCTGACACAGTTGCTTTGCTATAACTAGTAATTTTTTTCTGAGGCATATTTTGGAAGCGTCTGAAAAAGAATGTTTAGCAATCAGGTATAGTAAAGAGCATGAATTTAAGCAGCAGTTCTTCAGTCACTGTAGATCTGTAAAACACCTCTGATGTATGTGGAGCTACTCCAGTTTCTGCAAGCTGCAGATGTGTCCTGTGCCTGGAGGAACATTCATGTAGCCATCATTAAATAGAGGAACTGTAGATACAGTCAGGTTTAACATAGATAGCAATGAGGGCTTACCTAGGTATGGAAACCCTTAGGTCTTTACGTAAAAGACCTCATCCTAAAATACAGATCTTAAGCAAAAGATTTTGGTGTCTGTGTCTGAGAATGTTGTCCTGTGTTTGACTGCTCTTTTGGTACTAGCCAGAAGAAATCTGGAAAGATAAAATCCTAATGCTGGCACTGGATGCCTGCTAGCATTAGCAGAGGATGTGTGCATGTCTGAGGGCAGTTTTGCAAATGCAATTTCTTCTTCTAATTTTTTTTTTACTATTAAAAACCAGCCAAAAGCCACCATGTGAATAGAGATAGGATGGAGTAATGTTTTGCCTGGAAGTATCTTGCTTAACATTTCTCAGATGAGCAGTCTCCTATAGCAAATTTAATTTAAAGTGAAACCTGTTTCTAGATGGTGACAAACTGTTGCAAGCTTTCACTTATATTCTGTTGTGTGTTGATCTTAAAATCTCTTTGTGTCCTTTCTTCTAAGTACTGTGTGTTTGTAGCCTTAACCCTTCATTAGCTAAACCTCCTCCATTACCTACCCTTCACTGTTACCTATAAAAAAAAAAAATGGAGTGATAACCCTATTTTTCAGCCATTGGTTTGATACATGATATAGATTAACAGCTAGGCAGAAATGACCTGATTCTGCATGACTTCCACGTGCGTAAATCTCATTGACGTCAATGGGAGCGTTACGTGCAAAAGGACTGCAGGGCATAATTAAAAGGACCCTTTTCTATCACAATGTGGAGAAAAAAATGTGGTTTCTACTTGGGTACAATGAAAAGCTGTAAATCATTAGAAACATTCCTGTCTCCTAAGAACCTGACATACTACTTTGCTGTTGAGACATGCTTGGGTGAATGATGAGTAACTCACTGAGAAAAGTTCCTGAGTTGGGTTAATGCTTTTTACCAAGTCTGATCATGAAACGGGTTTGACAGGCTGGAAGAAGCTTGGTGGTGTGATAGAACAAAAAGAGGGGATTTGCCTGATAGCAAGGCCCACCCAAATCTTGTTCGAACACCATGTTAGTCAGTGGCTTTTTCCACTGTTAATAACGAGTGAGCAGTACTTAACTGTTGGAGGCCACCTTCTGGAAATTGGGAGCAAGTCCAAATCTGCTGGTGGTGAGCTGTGCCGCTGGTGCGAGCGGTGGAGAATCAGCCCTGGTTTTGACCATATTGCTCAGCCTCTCTACTAACAAGTGGAAATGCATTTTACTATGAATGTAACATTGTGCGTGTAATTGGCAACAGCTACTGCTTTACCACCTGGACACATGGGTTGGCTGCATGCAAGTGTGCATGCTTCCACACGTGTGCACATACATTTAGGCAGGTGTTGGAACAGAGGCAAGCACCCCTTTTTTTCCGTGGTATTTGTCGCTTATGCTAATCTCTTTGTTTTTAAGTAGTCATCTACTATATTTCTCTTACCTGTGGTGTTTTTTTTTTTAAATGCTTGTTGCCTGCAACTGCTCTTTGTAGAATCCTGTCCAGGTGATCACCTCTCCCCTTCCTTTTCCTCATGCTTTTTTTTCCTGTGTGCCCAAGTCAGTCCTGCTGAAAGGCTCCCTTAGCATCCCCACTCCTTCTGGACTCTGCCCCTTCTCCTGGTGCATTTACTAACTGCTTACCTAGTGAAGTTGTGGTTTCACCTACTACTTCTGTGATTTAGCTGCTCTTCTCTTTCCTGTCTCACTAAGTTGATACAGTTGCAGGTGATTTGCAGGCAAGACCCCCTGTTATAACTCATTGCATGCTTGATCTACATCTGGGCCCCTTTTTTTACTCCACTTGTCTTTAATGACTCCCTTATCCACAGGCCCTGCCGCCTGGTGCACTTCAACCTTTACCAAAGAGGCCAGCACTTGAAAAAAACAATGGTGCCACCACAGTCTTTAACCCAAGCGTTTTCCACTACCAACAGGCTCTAGCCAACATGCAGTTGCAACAGCCTGCATTCATCCCTACAGGTAAGTGTCTCCTTGCTTTCCCCAGCATCGTAGTTGTCTTTTTTTATGACCTAGGCATTGAGCCAATGAGCAGATTTGTAAGAGTCCTTAGCAAAAGAGTATCAGTGTGTAGTTTCCTGTTAAAAATGGATGAAAAGTTAATTTTTGTTATTTGACTTTTTTTTTTTCCTTCACCTACTACAATTCAAAGCTTTTCACTTGTAAAGATCCCTTCTTAGCCTTTTTTGTTTGGTTTTGGGTTTTTTTAAGTGGTCGAACTAAGAAAAATGTCTGCATGTTTCTTGAATTCATACTTTCTGTTTCTTTTCCTTATGGTTCAACTGCTTAATCCCAAATTAATTCTTTGACTCTTGTGTACCCCTCTCATGGACTCATGTTAAAATGTCTTGTGGACCTCTATGCCTGCTCACTTGAAGCTGCAGGTGACTTTCTGAGCTTCTGTCTCAGTGAGCTACTTACTCCAGCAGCCATGATGTTTATAGAGGGAATAGTTTGTCTTCAGTAAATACAAATTACATAATCTTCTTTAAAGGCATATATATTCCTCTTACTTGTCTTTTGACCAGTATGATAGCCTAAGCTTTTTAAAAGCAATTTAGCTCCTAGCTTTTATTGTACCTTTAAGGTCTCAGAGTAAAATTGAAAGATGCAGTTCGTATAGGACTGGAAATATTGACGTGGCAGATGTGGCTGCTGACTAGCCAATTAACCTCTATTCACTGCAGCCAAATGAAAAACAAAACCTGCTTAGAGTAGTAAGTATTATAAGTGGCTGAATTAGGAATATTCCAGAGTTGACAGCTTGTTTTTTAGTCTCATTATTATCCCTGCAAAGCATAATAAGAAAATGAATGCCCAGTGTTTTTAATGTTTAATGCTGTATTCACTTGCCAGATATTTACAAAAATATACAAAGTGTTTCTCTGGGCTGGCACCTCAAGGTGAACACACAGTGGACCTGGACCTTGGCCTTGCTGTTCCTTGGGGTCAGGGGGAAAGCTTTAGAGACAGACCTGTACTGAGACCAAACTGTCTCGGGTGTGAGCATGGATCTAGAGAGCTGGGACCTAAACCGTGTGCTTGGGTGGCCTTTATGAGAGCACTTGGAGACACTCAGAACTCAGCAGCTGCCAAGATGTTCTTACAAGGAAGCGGAGTCTTATGGAGGGAGAGACTCGAGTAAGAACATCCCACCTTGTGCTCTGCAAAGTGCTTTGGAGAGGATGGGCTGAGCTGACCTTACCATAACTCTGTTAGGTGCCAAGCGAAATACTTCTTCAGGAAATGCTGACACCTTTGAGAATGCCAGGTTCCCCAGCTGGCTACACGCTCCTCTTCCTTGAGGTCACAGTTGCCAAAGTTGACATAAGGACATGCATTTCTGCTGTGAGCACCGTAATTTAGCTTTTACCCAGCACTCTCACTGTGCTGTTGTGCCCTGTCTCATGGCAATGCAATTACGTGCGGGCCTGATGCATAACAGGTCTATTTGCTGGCACCTGCTCTCGTCTGAGGACATTAATGCTGGGCAGAGCAGCAAATTTCCAGTCAGAGGACGGATCTCTGATGAATTTACATTACGCATCCCCATTCTCCCTTATGCATCAGACTGCAGATCTGGTCTCAGCCTTTGCAGCACTCTGGAAAGCAAAGCAGAGAAGTGGAAAGTAGCAGCTGACACCATGGGGAGGGGGAACAAGATGTTGCTTTTCTTAGTTTCTCCTGTTCAGTCATTGAGAGATCAGCATCATAGGTTTCTAAGGGGGAGAAAGTCAGGGTGTCTGTCAAAATGGCATCATCACTACGGTTGTTTCAAGTCTAGAAGAAACCTGCCTCTTTCAGCTTAAACTAGAGACTTTGACTCCTGGCCCCTGCTTGCAGCAGGAGTAAATTGCTTTTGGAAAGTCAGTTTTAACATGAGTGTGACATTTCTCTAATGGCAGTTTGTTTTCTGCTGACATGATCAGAAAGAAATCAACATACCCGATACCAAAAAAACCCCACACAACGCTGATTTCTAGGATAGATCATATAATTTAATACCAGGGTGGGAGAAGAAATATATTCTCTACTACCCAAGAATTCAAGAATTAATTTGGTTTGCTATGATCTCTTAAAACTGAGTTTAAACTAGTTACGTACCAATATGCAGAATCTGTTTGCATGTGCTTAAATACTGAATGCTGCAAAGAGAATACCTGCTTTTTAGTTAAAGTGATTTTTCTAACACTGAAGCTTCACTAATGAAATATCCCTTTTGTTCATCTTTCCACGCTTCAATGCATGGTGTGCAGGGTCAGTTCTGTGCATGACACCCACTGCAAGCGTTGGTAGGTTTTTCTACACAAACTTCTTAACTTTTCCTAATCTGAAAGAGACAGCAAGTTAGTATGCATCAGTGAGAACCTGGGTGGCTGAGTGGTGTGACTGTCTATCCGCTGTCTTCTTTGAGGCTTAAATGGTTGTATCCCTTTTAATTTCTGTGCAGTGCAGTGTTTCGTGTGACTAATAAGAGAATCCAAGGTGATGTGTTCCCACCCCTATTTAGTTCCGCTGCAGAGACAAAAATTTGTCACTTAAATGTCTTTACAACCCGTTTAAGTCATGCAACAAAAGGAAATAGTAATGGGAGGATCCTGTTGGTTTATTTTTTTGCATTGGGCATCAGGTGGATTAGAGTTTGGATTTTTGGTTGTCCTTCTGAGGACATTTTAGGAGACTGGTTTAATAAAGACGCTAAGGAGGAACACGTCTGGGGTCAGCCCCTCTGTTAGAGCAGGGAGCTGCTTGTACAGCGAGAGAAGCAGGGCTTAGACCACGGACTGGCTGAAGACTCATTCTCTTTAGCGAAGTGTCAGCTATGCAGGTACAAGGGACCCTAAGCAGGTACCGCTGCTGGTGCACATGGGATGCAGTGAGGCGGCAGGGCTGAGTACAGGCTCATTGCTGCTGCAAGGATCCAGTATGTCCAGGCTCAGTATCTGGGTCTTACTGGGAACCTATGCAGGTCTTTGAGGGACCTTCCCCTGTGTCTGCAGTTGCTGGGCACAGCAGGGTGGGTGAAAGCTGAGCTTTCATCCTCCAACCAAGGTTATACAAGACTACCAGCATCTAGGTGTGTGCCTGCTTCAGCCAGAGGAGACAGATGGGAGCAGGAGCCTGGGAGAGGGTGCAAGGCTTTAGGGGAGCAGGTCTGAAAGCTTTGGCAGGAATGGCTAAGCACTCTGCTCTCGAACCTCCCCATCCCTTTAGCGCAGGGAGGACACACCGCTTGCATGACGGGGAGCTGAGCCCTTCAAACACACCTCTGCCTGTAGGAAACTCTGACCTACGTGCTCCAGTGTCCCATGGCTGAGGCGTGCCCAGCCTGAAGGCACGGGCGCTCCCCGCCACGGCCGTGGCTGCTGGGGTGGAGGGGAAGGCAAGTCTGCATCCCTGCGCATGTTTGTGGGGATGGCCGGGCGTTCCAGCAGGGTCCCCAGCCCCGCACCCCACCCTCCCCACCCTGGGTTTGGGGGATACCCGTGTGCGCCCTGGAGCATCCCCTCCAGCACCGTGCTCTGCGGGATGCACAGCTTCAGGAGGCTGCTGAGCTCCCTGCTGCCGTGTTGTCCTTTCGGATGCTCTTTTTGCAAATTGTAGTTGTTCAGATGCATTCGTGTATTTTTCCCTCTCAGCCCTCTCCCCTCTCCATCCCTCCCCACCCCGCAAGAAGGGAGTTTTGCCAAATCCACTAGAATTAGGGTGGAAAGGAAGCACGCTGAATTTGTACGGAGAGAGCTCGGGCTGCCAGTTGCTCGTTTGCTGTGCCTCCAGCTCTTTCCCATGCCGAAACATCGTCCCTGATAGAGAGAGGCAAGAAAACCTGGTGAAAGGGCTGCGGCAGCCGCTGCAAAGTGCATCATGTACCTCTGGTTGCTGGCGGGGATGGGGTGGGGAGGGAAGGGGACAAGCTTTCCCAGGCGGGTGGGAGGGTGCGCTTGCCAAAATGTCCCCACCCAAAGGAACGTGCACTGGCTGTGTCTAACTCCCCACGGGTGCGAGCTGACGTGGGCTTTTGCTAGCACACCCACCCTCTCCCCCCTTTGGAAATTTGGCCCTCGGAGTCTAATACATCATTGTTCTGCTTATAAATGTACTAAGTGTTGAGAATGTTTTGGTTTTTTCCTTAATTATAATTGTAATTGGCTTTTCCCCTTCTCTCTTGTTTATTTTTTTTCCCAACGCTGTCTTGCTTTGCACTGTGATTGCATGCTGCGCCCCGATGTGTCCTTCATGACGATGTCACATGGCTTGTTGCTGTGATTCCTGCCACGCCCCCAAATCCACCACATGTTGCCATGGTTACATTTAAAAAAAAACAAAACAAAACAAAACAAAACAATATATACGCTCCACCCTCCCGTATGTCGCTTCCATGGTTCCCTTCCGAAAGTGCCCATGATGCACGGTGCTACGCCCACCACTGTGTCTGCAGCAACAACTCCTGCCACCAGCGTCCCCTTCGCTGCAACAGCTACCGCCAATCAGGTTTGGCCCTTTCAATGGCTTTCTTTCACGTGTTCAGATCTCGAGGACCGGGCGAGGGCCGGATCCTGCGCGGGGCCGAGCGCCTTCCTGACCCGCTCGGCTCGGCGCAGGCTCGGGCACACAGAGGCAGCGTGTGTGTGTGTGTGTGCGTGTGTGTGCGTGTGTGTGTCCGGGGATCGGTGAGAGGGCACCGGCCGGTCCTGCCATGTGCGGGGTGGGCAGCGAGCCCGGCTGGAGCGTAGGGATGGGTGATTGGCAGGGGTGCAGGTGCTTCTCCAAAAACAACACCCGCCCCGGGTCCCAAAAAATGGGATGTGAAAGTCCTGACCGTACTGTCGCGCAAGACCTGCAACACTTCTGCTTTCAGTCTCAAGCAGAAATACCACCCCGAGCATCCTTCCCCGTGGTATTTTGGCATGTTCTCTCCTGGCTGGAAAGTGGAAGTGGAAACACAGAGTGACCTCCCCCCACCGCAAGATTGGACTCTTAAAAACTACTAAAAAAACCCCAGACAACCAAAAACCAAAAAATCGGGGGCGAGGCTATCAAGTGTGAAGCTTATTTATACCAGTAGCATGTCACCCATCCCTACAGAAATGACTCTGGATGTGCAGTACGTGCCGTTGTAGCACTGCCATAAGTGTACAGGATTTCATGCATGTCTGCCGAGCCATAATTCTCTCCAAAACTTTCCTCTGAAGATACTGAGTTGTGATGGCTGCTTCCGCACCAGTCCTGAACTGTATATGCACAAACTGTCCTAGTGATGCTTCCTGATAATTTGGTGTGCCACAACTTTTCCCAGTTAGACCAGAGACATTTCAAACACTTTATTTTTCCCCCCAGTACTAATCTTAGAATTTTGATTTGTCATGCTCTCAGGTTTAGAGCTATTGCAAAGAAAACAGGGTGTCACTTTGTTCTGTAGGAGGCTGTTAGCCATGCCGAAGGTCAGTAATATCTCAGGGGGCATTCTCTAGTCTTTTGCTAGTGCAAGGTCACAAGGCTTTCAGTAGAAGTTTTGCCTGCATAAGTCCTAGGCAGTGTTTTACTGCTTGCTATAGGGATTGCTAGTCTTTTTCTGTGCTTTGTTGTTATTTTCAGGTAGAGCAGGTCTTATTCATACTTGTATTGGTTATGAGAAGAAAACAGAAATTCCTGTGCAGCGTTGCTCTGTGGCTGTATGAGTCCTGTTTTAGCCAGATAGTTTCAGGGCATTTCTGTCTTACTTGTAGTCTATGGAGTTAAAACGCCAGTAGAATCACCATGTACTCCACAAGGCATCGGTAGTGATGCAGCTACATTGTATTTAACGTGTGGCAAAATATAGACATCTTGGGAATGGATCCTGTTTTGTAAGACACTGATGTACTTACTAACCTGATACTGAAGACAGAATGAGCTGCCCGATCTCAAGACAATGTTTTAATGTGTTGTGTTCTTTGTTTTTTTTGCTGTAGATATCCCAGTTATCAGTAGATGAACTGAGTAGCAGCATGTTTGTTTCACAGATGTAGAAGTTCCCAGTAGAACAGTAAGTTCCTTTTCGGTATTTCTCTTTACGGTGGATTGCTTTGTACAAGGGCACTGCATCCCCCAAAGGGGGGGCTGGCTCAGGCAGAGGGACCGAGCCTGCAGGACCCCAGTGGCTTCACACTCTGCCAACTCCACAGAAATTCAGCAGTTGCTGCACAGATACAGACCAGCCCTGTGGTTTATAACAAGCAATGTTTCCTTGTGTCTAAAATACCTGTTTTACGGTGTTTGCAGCCTCCCTTCTTGCATCCCTCTGAGTCTGATGGCTGTGTTTACAGGTTACTCTTGCTCTGCACGGCTCCCAGCTGCCTGCAGGTGCCTCAGGGATTTGCGCTATTGACGGTAAAGACTGCTCTGATAATGAGTCAGCTGAAAAGGTGTAACTTCTCTTTTGCTGTTAGTGGCATATTTCCTTTCCTGGGGTAAGCAGGATTGGTCATCATCAGCTGCTGTGCATCTGCAAGGCTGACTTGGTCTGAGCAAAGATCTGCTGTTCAGCTGCAGTGGGGGCCTGGCTCGTGGTGGGTTTCTTCAGAGGTCCTTGTATGTGTTTTAAGACCAGGATGAATGCCACAAGCAACATATCCTTCACTCTACCTGCAGATCCTGGCTTCCCTAGGCTGCTACGTTTCTCTGAGTGGGGATGATGGAGGAGTTTGTCCTTTTCGTTGACTTACAGAGTATTATTTTACAGCCGTACCAGCAGCGTCATTTTTCCATTGCTTTTCTTTGTGAGTGTTAGCTGATGTTCATGAGAGAAAACCCCTTGGGGGTTTCAGTTCCATCACTTGTGGTTTTTTACCCCAAGAGAGTAAAGAGCAGTTTTGCCAATTCAATAAGAGATCACCAAATTTTCCCAATGCAGGCCATTTAGTATACACAAGACACGCAGCCCATTTCTTCCTTGGGTCATGTATTACAGGCAGGTACTTAAATGCTGGAAATTAATTTGGCAAGCAACTCTAATGATATCTTTAGCAATTGATAAAAGTTACTCTGACCTTAATGAAGCACCACATGTATAAATGACCCACTAACTGTGGCTGTGGACCCCTGTTCATGTAGGGGTGAGCACCAAGCTATCCCCGTTAGTGAAAAAGTTCTGTGTTAGAGGGTGTAATGCTCTCCCAAGTAGACAGTCAGACGTGACACCTGACATGTTAACCCATTTCCATAACACATGCAAAACAGCCTGTTCCACCCGATAAGGAGATCATTTGCATTGGAACAGTCTCATTCTTGAACTCTTTGAGAGCATTTATTTCAGGAAACTTCTTTTTCTCTGAATTCTTTTTGCTTTCACGTGTGTGTGTGTGTGCTTAAACTTGCACTGTCAATAGTTTGTGATGGGATACATTTCTTTAGTAAATAGGGAGCACAGCACAGTCCATCAAACAAAGCATCGGTTGTGCTCTTAAGGACCGTGAAAAACCTTTGCTTGAAAGACGTAGGGTCAGCATATTGAATTTGATGGGATTTCTTGGGGATCAGGCGACTGGGCGTGGAGAGGGTCTGGGTCAGACAAGGAGCCTGTTCTTCATGAGGGCAGTGTGAGCACGTGTGTGAGCCACCGCTGTGCTGAAAGCACTTGTCCTCTTAACACCTCGCAGACATAAACCTCCCTCAGAGGCTGGTAGAAAAGGGCTATGTCCCCCAGCATCCCCAGTGCTCATAGACCCACCAGCAGCCATTTTCACACAACAGTATGTCTGTTTTGATCCCATTCCTGGGTTATTACCCCTCTGTGTCTGTGCATAAACTAAAGGTGAGCAAATCTCTCGAGGACACATTGTTTCATGCTACCACCTGAGCATGTGAAATTGTGCATGTTCTCAAGTGTTTTGTCAGACAAAGACCTTGGTTGACACTCTGCAGTGCCGAGGGGCAATTCCCAAAGCTGCCCTGAGTGGGAGTTGGGTAATTTAAACACTTGCAGTTCTGGCAGATGTTTTCCTCCATGGTTGATGAGGTCCTGGTAGCCAGGCTGGCTAGCCTAGCTCTGCAGAAAACCAGTGTTGGGTCCTTCAGGGGAGGGTTTTCATGAGTACATCCCAAGAGGGGCAGTTTACTCCCAGAAGTGGGTCCCCTGAGCACAAGGTTTCTGTGACTGTGTTTTGTCTCTGGGCCCGATTCACCTTTGGCTCATGGCTCCTTGGGATCAGATTTTAATGTGACGTTCTGAAGGAGACTGGAGCTAACAGGGGTCAGGGATTCCTTTGGCCCTCTGCTTATTTCACTCTCTACCTCCTGTCCTGTCCAAAAATAAGACTATTATTCGCCCACCTCCATCTTTCACTGATTGTCTTGTCAGTGTGTGTGAAGTGCACTGGAAATGGAAAGCCCTAAGTGCAGATTAAAGCGGATGCCAAGTGTGTTATTAGCAATTTCACCCAACATCAGGAAATTAAGGGAATGTTTTCTCTCTGCGACATACTAACAGCAATCTCTTGGGCAATGCAGTGAGGATGCAAATGTACCTTATTAGAATAACTTTTATTAAAATATAGACATGTTTCTCTCTTAACTTCTCACTCTTTCTTTGTTGTTGTTTTGTCTTTCCCCTGCAGCAGATCATGTTGAAATTCTGAACAGTAAAATTATGGAGCACCAGGACTTCTTGGTGGGAAGCTGCGCATGGCCTTTCTGTATATACCCCCTTTTCCCTCTATCGTTCTCTACCACCTCTACAGTAAGCCTGTTGCAGCCTACATGTTAACCAAAAACTGATCAATGGGAATGTCAAAAAAAAAAAAAAAAAAGCACTATAGAAACAATTAACAAACAGCGCTCTGTTATATGAGATATACAAGTAGGAAATTATAATAGACTTTTATAACACATTACTTTAACACACTTAATCATTTTATGACTACCATCCTGATAAGTGCATCTGCACAGCGGACTGTTGGTTTACTGTATACTATCGATGGATAAATGTTTGTCTTGTTTTTGAAGTGTTATCTTACTGTTTTGTTTACATCATAGTCTATTGATTTGTTTTAAAGTGTACATCATTATCAAGTATACTCAATACCATTTTTTCATTATTGTTATGTCTTAAGTTTTCATATACTGTAGGTTTTATGGGGTTTTGTTTGTTTTTTACTAAAAATGTTATTGTGGGAAACAGGAATTATGTGCTTGAAAAACACGACACAGGAATGTTCTGCCCTTTGCTGGATTTTACTGTTAATGTCAGCTGAAGTTGCTTGTGTTAAATGCTCCTTTTATCATGTAAAATTTGCCTTCAGATAGAGTCTCCAAATTTTTAGTACATGTAATATGAAAGGACGGCTGTAATTTTAGTCCAGTTCAGGGTATTTCTTTCAATACAATGAGCTGATTCTGGAAACTTTTGGAAAAAAACCCACAAAAGCCCAGGTTCAGTAAGAGGACAGGAATGATTTGCTCAGACGATGGTAAGCATCAAGGGATTTCTGCAGTTCTGTGTCCATTGAAGTGCATTCTCAGCTGCAAACGGCGCACAATCTCTCTTGCTGTTCTCATGGTGCAGTCAAAAAAAAAGGTGGTGAAGTGAGACAGCTTCAGTTGGGCAAAGACTCATTGCATTGGAGAGGAGCAAATGCCAACCATTAGCTGTAGTGGGCCCATCGCCATGGCTTAGCCCAAGCTGGGTAAAGTGTGCCCAGGGGCTTGTCTCAACTAAACATGCTGAAACATTTTGGCCTGAAATCTTACGTGGCTCTTCTTGAAATTTTGTCAGCATGCACTGATTATTTAATCACCATTTTCCATAAGTGGGTGATTTTTTTCCCCATGATCTCTGGCCCTTAAAGCAAACACATCGGTAACAAAGCAGAAGAAAGCTTAGCACAAGCTTTCTACTGTAGATAAACATTCATCTTAATGGAGCTCCTGTAACTTAGTGGATTTATTTTGGCACCTTCTACTTGATCAAGAGCAATGTTTGCCGCACAACAAGGGCTAGTTCTCAATACCTCCTTTTCATACGCACGAATAAAACAATTTTCAGCCCGTGCACCCTGGACAGCCCCGCCTGTCGTTACGCTGCGTTGCTGAACAATCTGGCTGCAGAATGCCATTTTGGTTGAGGATACAGCCAAATTCATCCCTGTCATAGCTCTACAGTATCATTGGCATTATGGAAGAGATGGATTTGCTGCTGTAAATTCACGCACTCCATACAATGAGAAAAGAATTGTTACTGAAATGGAGCAAGAGGCCAGCTCCCAGTGTTTGGAGGGCTGCCCCCCCCCCCAAGCTCACAGTGGTCCTGTAGGGTGCCAGATTCTAACAGCCAGGTTTCTTTTCTTTTCTGAGTTCCTTGGCATTGGTTAGAGACTTTCTTTGCCCCCTCTCCTCCAGTGTGAGTGCAGATAGTTTGCTAGATGTGTATCTCCACAGACCACAAGTGACAGAGGGGCGTTTGGGGCACAACCAGTGCATCACAGAATAGGGTCTATCTGCCTGTGGAGACTCATTCATAGCAAGAACCTTTGAAGAGCCCAGCTCACAAAGGCCTTGTGCCAGAAGGAATCTCTTAATTCACCTCAGCAAGCTTTGAACCAAATCCTGAGATGGGAGGAAAAACACACACACACCCCCTCCAAGACCCTCCTTTATGAACCCCGTGGTTTGACAGTTGCTTGTGTCCATAGATGTTCCCCAGCCATCAGCGTTCACAAGCAGCAGCGTTGCCTGAAATCAGTGACTCTCATTTATATTGGTGACCGCATACCTGTTCTTTTCACCACTGAGTTTCTGTTTCCCAAAACCATAACATTGTTAGTGGAAAAAGTGGATTTGAGTACTTCCTGTTTGAAATTATTTGTGTATCAAAAATGGGTTTTGCACAACCTGTGCCAGTGCCTCAACAAAGAACAGAGCTGATCTTCTTAAGCCAGAAAGGATGCATTCAAGCTTGTATGGCTTTATGAGTTCAAGGAGGTTGGAATTTTTTCAGTGCTAAATGGATTTTTGTATATCTTGACACTTTGATGTAACCTCCTATTTTATTTATCGACTTAAACATCTGGCATAGATGTGCATAGAATGTAAACCTAGAATACAGCTGTTTTCATGTCACATTTAAAGCACTGAAAAAAAAAAAAAGCATTTAAGGATTATTTTTTATTAAAGAGGTCCAATGAGGGATGTTCAGGGTAGTTATATTAGGTGCCACAACAGTTTTTATATTGCTGGCAAATTTAGAGTTAATTTGTAAATGAGTTTAAGGAAAGAAAAGCTTGAAGCACTAAACTTCACCAAATTCAAAACAATCTCGGCAAAAATGCCATTTTGAGGTAGCACTATTTAAACTAGTTGTGCAATGACTTGCTCTAATTTTCTTTGTTCAAGAAAGAAAAGAAAAAAAAAAAACCAGTCGCCAGACTATAAATTTCCTAAATAGACTATTACAAAGTCACCGAGCTAGTTAGTGACTCTAAACAAATGTCATAAAAGCATGAATATCATCCTTTATTTGACAAGAGATGTATGTAAGTTTGTTTAAATCGATATAATTTTAGTGACATTTTTATAAGCTTCCCACTTTCCATGAACCTATATTTTTTATTTATCCAAAGTTATTTCTCTTTGTCCATTTCTCTCAGCCTTATGCAAACAATATGCAAGAAATGCTGAAACTTGGATAAAACGGGTCATGCAGAGGGAAAATGAAAGCTGAGATTGATCATTTTCACGAAAAAAGGTTGTTAGTAGTTTCAATAAAAAGTACTACTACTAAACTGTAACATAAGCAGACAATAAAAGAGGGATTTAAAATAAAATGGATTCATAAAACTATTAAGATTATTTTTGTTAAATACAGTGTTTTTAGTAATTTGGAACATGATTTCACAATCAGCCGTGTTATTTAGTTGGAAATTTCTAGCTGATGATTTTTGACTGTGTATTTTTGCATCGCGATGTTCTAGAAACCGTTACCTCCCTGGCCAGCCCGCGCCGGCCCCTTTCCCGAGCACTCCAAAGCGCTTTCCCTCTCTGCCATCCATCCCTCCATCCGGGCCGTCTCGCACCATGCTCGGAGCGTTCCCCAACGGCGGCACCTCCGGGCCGGCCGCCACCCCACAGTATTTTCACTTCAAAAACACCACAGCCTGTATTTACAACGTAGTGACCGGTCTTGCTTTCATTTCACATTCATTCACACAGTGGGAATTCAGAATTAACCCGTTTCAGTACTGTAGCTCTGCCTGCAATTTTCTTTTCTCCAGAAATTGAGCACTCGCGCAATTACGTTATGATCAGGGCTAAATAATTAAGCATATAACTATTTTAATACTAATTTATATTAGCAAAAACTGTACATAAGAAAAAAATATTGTGGAATGACCCTGTAACAGTGTTGAAGATACAAATATGCTGCAGTTAAACTGATTCAGTTAGTGTACGAATGTGTGAGACACACCTTTTTTGCACTTATGTACATAGTCCACGAAAGAAATCCTTGGAACTTATTTTGAATATAAAAAGTCTGTAATAATACAGGAAAAGTTTGTAAAAGAGATAGGTATTACTAAGGCTTTGAAAAGGAGGAGTTTTTTGCTATAAAACTTATCTGAAAGCATGATGTTGCTTTGCTGTTGTAAAAGCTTTGTAGTTTGCCATAGCTTATTATACAGCAGACTGATAACAGGTCAGCTCCAACCTGCAGCACAGAGAAATGGGAAACAGTGCTTAATTAATTAGTAAGGTCACTAGCAAAGATTTGAATTACTTTCTTTTTTAATCGGCCTAGATTTTCAGACACACCCTAGATCATGTCTCTGATAGGTTGTGTTCTCAGTGAATCCTATTAGGACTGATAGGTCCGTGGCAGCAGACACACATTTTTCCTAGCACCTAATCCTATTTCCAGCGGGAAGTGTTTATCTGTTAGAGGTGACTGTCATTGCAACGAGTGTTTTAAATCCCAGAGGGAATTTGAAATGTCGCAACTTACTGATTTTTATTGTCAGGGTTGGTTTGGGTTTTTTTTCCCACCCTTTTGAGGCAAGATAACAAAATGGAAGGGACTGGTGAGCGGTGGATGGATGGCGGTGGTTTTGGTTTGTCTTGGGCTGGTTTCCTCTTGCAGTAGACAGCCGTGGTGTTCGTTCAGG